AACAATAACCTGCACTAGGGCGTCAACACTTTAACTAAAGACAATGTTATTTGCATGACACACAAGTGGACAAATTCCCCAAAGCTGCACCTAACGTTTTGTCATGAATTTAAGATGAGTTAGAATGAATATATTCGTCTTCCAGAGCTGCGGAAATAATGTAATATTTCACTCATTGTTGAGAGCACATTTGCATATAAGAGAAGCATTAATAATTTAGAATTCATTTTCTCCTCGGAGTGCGCAGGGATTGTGTTGTTCCGACCATGAAAAGAGCGCCAGTGCAGGCAGAAGGCGGGCGAAAGATTCCTTTGATGTACCGCCCATAAAAGAGTCATTGTGAGGTGCAGATGAACGCCAGCTGCTATTGTTGGTATTATAAAAACTTCTCCAGCAGACATGGCCGAACATTCATCTGACATAGCTTCTATAAATTTCACGGTGGTAGTGATTAGCTATCAGCACTCTCACAGGGGAAGCTCCAGGTGTGTTGGTTACTCGTGGTGGGAGCGTGTGTTAAGGACTTTGGTAGCAGTTCCATACACCCTGAGGCTTGTAGAGTGACGAATACCTGTACAGTATATATCAGTGTCATAAGAACTATACCCAGCCTTGTGATGGTGAGAGTGATCCTGCTACCACCACACACACACACACACACACACACACACACACACACTTAAAACCCACACCTGAGGCTCGCATACACGTGAATCATGGCCGTATGTACTTAGTAAGAATGAACGAACAAAACACACTACCAACCACGCTCAGACAAATCATTTCCAAGGTATATACAGTGCAGTAGGACTCAGTATAAACCATCGGTAAAATATAGTTTGGATACCTAACCTAACCTAACCTAACCTAATCTAACCTAACCTAATCTAACCTAACCTAATCTAACCTAACCTAACCTAACCTAACCTAACCTAACCTAACCTAATCTAACCTAACCTAACCTTCTTCTGAGCAGTTTACAGTGAAATGGCAATATGACCCAATATTTGAATTAGTTAATACTGAACTCATTGTTTCTATCATAATACAATGAGAACATCATCTAGTGAAGCTCTCTACAACCTCTTACTCTTCATTATAAAACTTTCTTACTTAATGTATCGTTAACAGTAAATAATTCCACTTAATATTCATGCACAATAATTAACTGAATAAATTATCTAAACTGTCCTACTTGTAATAAAAAACTCTAATATGTTTTTCTCTTGGTATAAAATAATTCCCAAACTATCCTACATTAAGCACATGAGTTATTTAACATTACTCAATACTCTATAACCTGTTCAGTGTGACTTAGGAAGAGGTTTTAGGAATACCACAGACAATAAACTGGACTGAAGATTAATCAAAAACAATAACATATAATATACCACGTTTAATGGTATTATTTATAATGTATAAAATATATTCACCTGTTAAGATGGAACTTGATATTTCTGGCTAACTTGAGTTTATAGAATAACTTAAATATGAGACCATGGACGATAAATTATGGTATATGAGGGCTGTCACTAGTCACACGTATAATTTCGGAACATATTGACCCCCACCTGCACTGATAGTTGTTTTAGCTACTGTACAATGTCATATAATTATAAACGGTGTCCTCGTGAACTATTTAGCTTAATGATAATTAGTTTTGAATTATTTATACTTTTAAGACTTGATGAAGAAGCGTTAGAGATTTAATTGATTTGAGGATGAAATAACCCAATAATTGTGTTGTAAACGGTGACGTGTCCTCTAGTTTATTGGAAAAAGATTAGAAAGAGGGAGGTAACAGAAAGAGGGAGGTAATAGAAAGAGGAGGTAACAGAAGAGGTAACAGAAAGTGCTATGGGTGGTGTTCCGCACGCCCAATAACAGCCCTCTACCTGTGCTATGGGTGGTGTTCCGCACGCCCTGCCTCTACCTGTGCTATGGGTGGTGTTCCGCACGTAACAGCCTCTACCTGTGTGGGTGGTGTTCCGCGCGTCCTGATAACAGCCTCTACCTGTGCTATGGGTGGTGTTCCGCATAACGTGTGGGTGGTGTTCCGCACGCCCTAACAGCCTCTACCTGTGCTATGGGTGGGTGTTCCGCGCGTCCTGATAACAGCCTCTACCTGTGTTATGGGTGGTGTTCCGCGCGTCCTGATAACAGCCTCTACCTGTGCTATGGGTGGTGTTCCGCACGCCTTGATAACAGCCTCTACCTGTGCTATGGGTGGTGTTCCGCACGCCCTAATAACAGCCTCTACCTGTGCTATGGGTGGTGTTCCGCACGCCTTGATAACAGCCTCTACCTGTGCTATGGGTGGTGTTCCGCACGCCTTGATAACAGCCTCTACCTGTGCTATGGGTGGTGTTCCGCACGCCCTAATAAATTACGAGTCTAGCCACTAAGTCAAGAGGAATATATCTGCATTATCTATCTTATCACATAATGTGGTAAGTCGTTTACCTATGAGTTATCTAGTACATTTAAAATGCGTAAGTGTCTTTCTTTGTCATAATAAATTGTTGATTCTAATTTTGTTCTGGATTCAGGGTTTCTTCAGCGTATAATACTACCCCCAGATTCTTAACGAGTTAATGTATTTTTCAGTATATATTCATAAACCCTCTTACCTCGCTTCATTTAGTTTATAAATTAACTTTCCTAAATTCCCCAATGTTAGACTGCACTCAGATGTCGACACGTCTTATTAATTATGTACTGTACCAATACTGGATTATATTCTGCTTATCTGCTTCTCTTCTCATGTTGAAACATCCTTGTGAACTTGGAATGAGTTTGTTTATGCTTTAAATTACTGATTTACCTTTTAAAACGTATTCATCTATAAACACTTAATACAGTTTTGCTCTATATCTAACGTCATATTACTGTACTTCTCTCTCCATAAGTACATCACGTTAATAGATTTTCTTTCTAAAACTGCATAAGTTCCCCACCTCATAAATATCTGTTACTAATACATTTTTTATAGCAAAATCCAACGAACCTTAATATGCAAATTATTATTTAGATATTTTCGGCAACACGGCAGGTGACTGGGGCCTCTCCCTCCCACGGGCTCCCTATATAATGATTGATAGTGGCCACCTAGCGGGAGTAGAAGCACTTTCTAACCCCACTTATATGTTAACTCCTATGATTGATATCCTTTCAGTATTCTAGGAAACTCTCCAACCGAAATGCCAAGACTGACACCGCAAAACCAAACCTACTGTGTGTGTGTGAACTATCTCCGCAAATAGTTATTATTATTATTATTATTATTATTATTATTATTATTATTATTATTATTATTATTATTATTATTATTATTATTATTATTATTATTATTATTATTAATCATCAACAGTGGACTGAAATCTACCTATTAATGCAGTGTCCTGTGAAACGGGTGAAATTTCGTGAATTATTGGTTGTAATTCTTTGATGTGTAGAGAGCAAAGCTTGACTCACACTCACCTGGAAACAATGTAATTTGCATGCTGCCAGCGTCATCATGCAGCAGTAATTTCTCTCTTTCAAAATATCATATTATTTATTTTTTTTTAGTGTACAGAAGTGATTACGTGAAGGTGAATTAGTTTTCAGATGTGATTCTTGTTAGTATCTCCAGCGATACTGTTACAACTTATGAGTAGTGATGACTTAAAGCAACATAACCCTACCTTGAAACTAATCCCTAAAAGTGCACTGTTTTCCCTAAATAGAATCTTTCTAGTGACACATTATCCAACCATCACAACTGCAATGATTTTTGATTTAATAAGCCAGAGTGAGGGCCCGACCCGTGACCCAAGAGTGAGGGCCCGACCCGTGACCCCAAGAGTGAGGGCCCGACCCGTGACCCAAGAGTGAGGGTCCGACCCGTGACCCCAAGAGTGAGGGCCCGACCCGTGACCCAAGTGAGGCTGACCCGTGACCCCAAAGTGAGGCCCGACCCGTGACCCAGAGTGAGGGCCCGACCCGTGACCCCCAAGAGTGAGGCCGACCCAGCTGACCCCCCAGAGTGAGGGCCGACCCGTGATGTTTCGTGAGGCCGACCCGTGACCCCAAGTGAGGCTGACCCGTGACCCCCAAGAGTGAGGCCCGACCCGTGACCCAAGTGAGGCCGACCCGTGGCCCCAGGTGAGGGCCCGACCCGTGACCCCAAAGTGAGGGCCCGACCCGTGAGCCCCCAAGTGAGGGCCGACCAGCTGACCCAAGGTGAGGGCCGACCCGTGACTGGGTGAGGCCGACCCGTGACCCCAAGAGTGAGGCCGACCGTGACCCAGGTGAGGCCCGACCCGTGACCCCCAAGTGAGGCCCGACCCGTGACCCCAGAGTGAGGCCCGACCCGTGACTAGAGTGAGGCCGACCCGTGACCCAGAGTGAGGCCCGGCCCGTGACCCCAGGTGAGGCCGACCCGTGACCCCAGGTGAGGGCCCGACCCGTGACCCCAGAGTGAGGGCCGACCCGTGACAAGGTGAGGCCCGACCCGTGACCCCCAAGGTGAGGCCGACCCGTGACCCCAGAGTGAGGGGCCGACCCGTGACCCAGAGTGGGGGCCCGACCCGTGACCCCCCAGGTGGTGACCCGTGACCCCAGAGTGGGGAGCCCGACCCGTGACCCAAGAGTGAGGGCCCGACCCGTGACCCCAAGAGTGAGGGCCCGACCCGTGACCCCAAGAGTGAGGGCCCGACCCGTGACCCCAAGAGTGAGGGCCCGACCCGTGACCCCAAGAGTGAGGGCCCGACCCGTGACCCAAGAGTGAGGGCCCGACCCGTGACCCAAGGCAGACTCTCACGATCCAAGTAAAAATGTTCCACTTCTCTTGGAAGATGTTTCTTGTAAAATAAAACTTTCTGCCATTAGAGTAGCACATTATGCAGTAGTTTTTGCCTAAGTCACGGCAGGAGTGAAGCCGGTGTGCGCGGGAGTGGGGGAGCAGGAGGCCGCGATCCTGACTGGTTAAGGCGGCCTCAGTGCTCGGCTAACACCCGTGTGAGTGAGGTGTGCCACGCGTGTTGTCTGTCTGGGGTGTTTCTCCTGATACACACACACACCCAGCACCGCACCACACCTAGTGTTGTGTGGTGGTCCTTCATCTGTGATCTACAGTGTAAGCTTCCGTGTGTAACGATGTACTGTATGTGAATCTAATTGAAAAGGCGAATGTTTCTGTTTGAGACAGCCAGTCATAGTGAGTGTATGTCTTCCATTAAGATCTGAGAGAGGGAAGCTTTTCGATATATAGATATATAGTGATATTTAAGAGTGTAAAATTTCATAAAGCAACCAAGGGATGAATCAAAAGTACCAGTGAAAGAACTATGGAAGAAAATGAGTGAACCCTTATCACCAGTAGTGGTGTAATATAAGGCTGACCTACACACTACGGTCCACTGAAGGGAATCATTCACTCATTATCACACGTATGGTGTCATTAGTGATGCTGGAACTAATGAGGCGTGGAGGCCGTGCTAATTATCCTCGTGTAAACACCGAACAACGAAACTATCAACCCCCATCATTATAGTTATATTACGATAACTTTGATGTACAAACGACCTAGTAAATAGAATCAAACTTTTTTATAATCTGTAAAAATATAAAAATCAAGAAAGTAGAATATAGTCATTTTTCTATACACAGTGACACGATACAGTGATTCTCTTGTTATCATTACAAAGGATAATTTGTATAGAAAATTATGAATACATAAAATAATTAAAAAAGCCGAATAAAATATTAGTCTTTGAAAAGTGACCCAGAAAAATGAGTTAAAACCTCTTTTTAAGGAGTGTAGAGGGACATTAAATGATTCATATACTATCAAGAAAAGTACTTCTATTTTTACCATTTGTGAAATATAATATAAAATAATTTAGCCAAGTACATGACCAGAATGATGTACCCACTGTAACATTACACAGTGGAAAATAGTAAACAGAAACGTAAATACACAAACGTCTTGGAAGAGGGACTCAGTTCATCTCACCAATAACATGTGATATATATAATAACTCACCAAACAAGAGGAAAGTGAACAAAACAATTCCATCTTTAAAAAAAGTAAGATATACAAAACTTATCATCTCCACAATATTCTGGACACGATTCCTTACCATTTTCAGATAGATGAATGAATGTTATTTACATACCAACCCAATAAATTAATTCATGCGTGGAGAGCAAAGTGTGATGAATTTTTTTTTTATACACAACTCTGAAAGTGTGACGAAGGTGACTCTTATCACTCGCCGGAGGTAATATTTGATGATTTTCAAAAAGTATTCAAATTACCTTTCCTGGAGAGTCTCGGGTGATATATCCCCTGTGCAAGACGTGCCAGAGAGGAAAATAGAATCTTACCATCTCCCAGAAATAACACAAGATAAAATATTTTGATATATCGAAGAAAAAAAAGTGAATCGAACATTTGCATTTATAGATAACATATGGTCTTATCTTCGCCGATAGAAGGTAAAGCCAGTTATTGGAAACTAGTGAGGAAAATACATCACATCTTATCACCTTAGAATTAGTAATTTTGATGAACATGACAACACGGGATAGTGAACTACTTCGTATTATCACCCGTATAAGGTCCTTCAACCCCCTAAAACTTTGAAACTAAAGAGAAGAGAAAAACAGAAACTAACTATTTTTATCACCTGTGAACAATAGCACATCGGTAACTGTGTTGTACATAAACAAGAACAGAGTAAAATATATCGTGTGAAAAATAGTATGAAATAATTTAGTTACATATAGCGATAATATGTACCACTTGTGAACCTACAGCAAACTTATCAGTGATTACTTTGGTGAATACTTATGATCATTAACTCATTAAATTTATTAGTCTTGAAGCCACCGACATAACTGGATTAAAAGGTGTTTATAACCGAAGGAAAATAAGTGGGTTGTTACGTGGTACTTGACGTCCCCTGGTGGTGAGTGATGCTCCTGTTCCTTCACGTCAAGTACAAGATAATGTTATCAGAGCCACCAGGGAGATACTGTTAACCCTTATCACCCGTAGAGAGTAATTAACAACATTAATGTGCGAGTGGATACCAGTGTTGGTCTCAAGGGGGAAGGAAGCCCTGGAGGGTGGAGGGGTGGTAGTGATGAGAAGAGGGGGGGCGTGGTGGTGGTGGTGGACCAGACTGGCCGTGGTGATGGCGATCAAGGCGATATGGTGTGGTGGCGAGACATTGGATAGTCCTCCTCGCCCCCGCCACCAGCTCTCCTCTCCCTCCCTCGCCAACGACATACTCGCCCGTTATCCTGGCCAGGACGACTACGTCAGTAAGTGAACTATTTCCCACTATAGAAATTGATTTTAATTTGAGTCATTCCTCATTTGGGGAGGTCAATTTTTCCACTTACAGAGGACATGTTTGAGTTCATTTCAGGAAATTTCTCAGTTGAGTAGTTTTTTAGTGTGAGACTTTGATTTTCTATTTAAGTAATCTCTTTTATCTGAGGGGTGGGGAGGTGGGTGGGTGGTGATGTTCCGCTGGGTAATGATGATGGCATGAGTAGCAGACGTCGTCCCAAATACCACATTCAGCTCAACAACCCATTAGGATAATTGAGTTTTCTCCCGGATCATTTTCCTATTTTGAATCATTACAGTTGTCAAGGGTTATTTTCCATGGTATTAATTTAGTTGGTTTTGGCTCATTAACAATTAAATGACAACGATTTCTATAAGTGTTGACCATAATATCTGGACCTTATTACAGATACCTATTAAATTTTATAGTTTCGTTAGTTTCATTTCCCATTTGGATAATTGGGTTAATATTTGGGTCATTTCCCTATTTCTATAATGGGTTCTCTACTCTCAGGTCTAGACACAGTTGGCTATTGAAGGAGTTAAATTTATGTTTTTGTATGAATTATGAGTTCGATCAAAATAGTTGACCTATAGTGACACGTAGATTCATATTGGTTACGTTCCTCGTCCAGTCTACAAAACAGTCAAATTGTAAGTGCTTGTATCCACTCACTTAGGAGCAACATTTAGACTTTTCGGGATACTTTTGGTCATAAGTGTGATATAAATAAGGAGATTCTAAATAAAGAATCGATTTACTCATATCATTGTCCTAACTGTTAGTTTGGTATAATCTATAATATAAATCTGCCTTTACGAGCTATTACCCAATTTAATATACGAGGCACGTGGTTATAGTTGACATTGTTCACTACTGAGGGAATTTTTGTCGTAGATGTATGTTAAAGATTTTACCTGGATATTTATGAAAACATTATCCCAAGATTTATATGAAGTGAAGTGTGTAAGTGTGAGTGGAATTTTTTTTTATACTGTCTCAGGGTATTGTACGAGCCTCATAGTGAATTAGGTTGGTGACATAGGTTGAGAGAGAGAGAGAGAGAGAGAGAGAGAGAGAGAGAGCGAGAGAGAGAGAGAGCGAGAGAGAGAGAGAGAGAGAGACAAGTATGTGACATAGATTGTGAAATTAAGCTGTAGAGGATAACTAATCTTATAATACCATTGCTGTGTACAAATCCATCATGGCATCAAGCACAAGAACCAAAACTCCTTAGCGAAAAATAATTAATACTTTTAACAATGAAAATACACCTACATAAAAGTTACATTATTGCCACATACTATTGTAGACTAAATTTACTATACTACTTTGTATTTAACTGGGAAATATTGTAAAAAAAAAAAATCCGGGAAGCTTAAAAAGAAAAAATTGATATGAAAAATGGAAAGCTAGAGACTTGAAGTATTTTTAATTGTTAGTTATCAGAGTTATTCTATAGTTTTGACATTTTATCAGTTGTGGAGTCAGAGTAGCAGTAAAAAGAGGCAGGTCGACTGTGATTTATCCCGGGGTCAACATCACTCCAAAACCCTGATAACTTGTTGCTAGTGACGTATATCAAAGTTGTTTTTGAAAGCTGAACCATTAGATAAATAGTCTGTCACAGCTCTTATGTTTGTGTGTGTGTGTGTGTGTGTTACTGTGTGCGTTTGTATGTTACTGTGTGTGTATGTGTGTTCGTGTGAGTGATTGTGTGTTAGTGTGTGTGTGTGTGTGTGTGTGTGTGTATTACTGTGAGTGTTTGTCTGCTGGTGTGTGTGTTTGTGTGTTTTACTGTCATAGTGTTTGTATGTACAGAGACTTACAAACACACGTATGAAACCTCGATTACAGAAAATGTTTTAAATACCATTAGCACCAACCCAACACATTGTCTCTATAAACTGGTAACTGTTGACTCTTTGTTGAAATTTGATACCAATTACTTTTATCATAGAGAGGAGAGAGTGTTGGAGGGTGGAGGGAGTGTTGGAGGGTGGAGGGAGTGTTGGAGGGTGGAGGGAGTGTTGGAGGGAGTGTTGGAGGGGTGGAGGAGTGTTGGAGGTGGAGGGTGTGTTGGAGGTGGAGGGGTTGGAGGGTGAGGGGTGTTGGAGGGTGGTGGGGGAGTGTTGGAGGTGGAGGTGTTGGAGGTTGGAGGGTGGAGGGGTGTTGGAGGGTGGAGGGAGGTTGAGGAGTTGGAGGTGGAGGGAGTGGGAGGGTGGGGAGAGGGAGTGTTGGAGGGAGTGTTGGAGGGTGGAGGGAGGTGGAGGTTTGGAGGGGGTGGAGGGAGGTGCTGGAGGAGAGTGTGGAGGGTGGAGGGAGTGTTGGGGGTGGAGGAAACCATGGAAACTGGAGGGTCCCTTGGAGTCTTGGAGGTGAAGGTGGAGAGGACGAAACACCTGTTGTGGAGCAGTGTGGAGGCTACCCCGGCCAGGACTACCTTAGGACTACCTATCTCAGGACTACGTGCCTCAGGACTACGTATCTCAGGACTACCTCAGGACTACCTAGCTCAGGACTACCTATCTCAGGACTAGCTCAGGACTACCTAGCTCAGGACTACCTCACGACTACCTAGCTCAGGACTACCTCAGGACTACCTACCTCAGGACTACGTACCTCAGGACTACGTACCTCAGGACTACGTACCTCAGGACTACCTACCTCAGGACTACATCAGTAGACTACCTTCAGTAATTGATTCTTTGTGGGACATTTTCCATTTCATTATTTTGGGAGGAGTTAATTACCAAACCCTAGTGGACATTTTGGTTAATTTATTTTGGTTAATTTATTTTGGTTCATTTATTTTGGTTAATTTATTTGGGTTAATTTATTTTGGTTAATTTATTTGGGTTAATTTATTTGGGTTAATTTATTTGGGTTGATTTATTTGGGTTAATTGACATTTTAGTAATTAAGTCAGTTTCAGGGATTTCCCATTTTAGGTAATTTTAGGGGTAAATTTTATGTTAAGTTGGGGGGTGGGGGGTTAGGTTAGGTTAGGTTAGGTTAGGTTAGGTTAGGGTAGGTTAGGGTAGGTTAGGGTAGGTTAGGGTAGGTTAGGGTAGGTTAGGTTAGGGTAGGTTAGGTTAGGTTAGGTTAGGGTAGGTTAGGTTAGGTTAGTGTCTCAAATATATTCCTGTTAACGTTCTTACCATTATTATTTACTGCATTAAACACAGCTCAAGTTGATGTTGTTGTGGTTCAAGTTCCTATTGTAAAAAAAAATAGGTTTTATTTGAGGTCACCGCCCATTACAGTAATTGGATTTGCTTTGCGTTTCTAAGTGCATTTACGTGCTTTCGTGTGTGTACGTGTAATGTGTTTAACAGCAATTTACTGAAATATGTAGGGAAATGCAGTTCTTTTATGCTTTTATTATGATAGTGAGAAAAAAAAGACCATTGGTTACCTCAACTCGTGTGTGTGGTATTGTACAAAAATACCCACATGGTTTTTATTTGGATCATAAACTTTAAAATATGTCAGAAATACATTATTGAAATCTCCCGTACGCTGGAAATTTTTTTATTTATTTTATTGTAAGATAAATATATTTGCTCACTTAGACTCAACATCAGTGTATGGTAAGTCAATAATTACCCAGGAACGTCTAATTAATTCCTTATCACCTGTGGAAACTATTACGTTATAATTGTGAGAGGTATTATGTTACTCGTATACATGTAACAACGGGTGGAGGGAGTGTTGGAGGGTGGAGGGAGTGTTGGAGGGTAGAGGGAGTGTTGGAGGGTAGAGGGAGTGTTGGAGGGTAGAGGGAGTGTTGGAGGGTAGAGGGAGTGTTGGAGGGTAGAGGGAGTGTTGGAGGGTGGAGGGAGTGTTGGAGGGTGGAGGGAGTGTTGGAGGGTGGAGGGAGTGTTGGAGATTTAATAAAATGTTGGAGGTGGGATGAGTGTTTGAAGGAGAATGGCGATCAGAGTGAGGTGGTGTGGTGGTGAGGCCCCGATCTCTCCCTTCTCCTCGCCCTCGCCACCAGATCTCCTCCTTCTTCGCCTCCTCTCTCGCCTATGCCACACTCACCGGCGACCTCAGCCAGTAAAGCCTCGCCAATAAGCGACCCTTCATCCACATTACCCATGTAAATAATTACGTTAGATTAATGGGTCTTTTGAGGGACGGAGGTTAATTCCCATTATATTAATTAGGTTCCTTCTTGGGTCATTTCACATTCGATTAATTGCTCGTAATGGGGGTAATTTTCTAATTTCATTTGAGCCTTTTTTTGGTTCATTGGCCACTTGAATATTTGGTATTATTTTTCATCTTTTCTTATTTGGGATTATATAGTAAAGGTGGGATAAATTCTCCATTATTTTCCTTCGTTTTGGGTCAGTTTCTGTTGCAGTAATTATTTGTATTATTTACCATTCATCTACATACACTGTACAACTTACCTATAGCGTCTGTATAACACTATGTAGCTTATATACGATATCTACCTTGTCTCGGGTCAAGCTCATCAACAATAAAGGTCACTTAAAGGTCAAATAATAAATCTTTTCATTCTTACTGAAATATCACCCAATAAAACGACTGGTGGATTCTAGCGTCTGATCACGTATGGTAAAATGTTTAATGTTCTCAGTGAAGAGTTGCTGTAGAAATTTAAAATATATTCCAACTGAGGTTACGTAGACTGCTGTAGGTCAGTTCACGATGAAATACTCAACTGTAGTTACTTTAGTACTATCAACTTTAGTTAGTGTATTTGTTGTACTTGTTCATCATGAGTGCCATTCTAGCCTTAGGGGGTAAAGAAATGATGATAAATTGATTTTGACTGTTGAACAATTCTTTGACGTGGTTCTCTTCTGACGATATAGACTTCAGTTAATTACCGTCAAATTAACAGTTAGAAAGTACTTTAGAGAAAAGTTTACAAAGCGAAACTGTGAGATCAATTATTAGTAGGACAGCCAAGTTTTCTCTTTTCAGCTCCAA